TCTTTTGACACAATTAGACTCTGCATTTCTCTCTATAAAACATTAAATAATGCTTCAAATGATGCACTAGATCTACTTCACTCCAAACTTATTCCAATTTAATGCTAACTTTAAGACCTGAGGATATCAATGTGCCTTTATTAAACAAATGAACAACTAAGAAAAAAACTTAACCGAAGCTCATATCTATAAAAGTGACTCCTTTACCTGTTTCACAGATCTTTCTAGTAAATATTTTGCAATGGACATATAGTATGTTTCTTGGGAAAATTCATCAGTTTGAAAACCTCACAGAAAATAGGAATTACAACCAGGCCAAGTCTCAGATTCCTGTACTCCAAGTACTCTGGAGGTTGAGGCAGGGGGAGGAGGGGCTACCATACGTTGCGAGCTCAAGGTGGTCCATGACTGTAATAACATGAATATATTTAAAAGTAGAGGAGAGACAAGAGAATATAGAGTGAGCCCTACTCTCAGTTAATGATACTGAGCCAGGACTTTGCTAATCATCACTTCCTTTCCAACCCAAACGGGATCTTCATAGGACAACCATCATGTGAAGTAGTAGAAGGTACTGGTTATGGATAAAGAGGCTGATACTTTGTACCGTATTACAACAGTTTTTTGTTACAATCAGAATTTTCAGGTTATTTTAACATAGATCTTACAAGTATTTCAATATATTTTGTCTGCATTTCAATTTAAATGATACTCCAAAGCTAAGAGAATTGTATTCTCAGACTTTGCATGGCAATTGTTAGCAACCTTAGTTGGGCTCATTTCAATCCGGTTAATACTGACCTGTGTCAGCACTCAGTACTTCATGCCATAGGTTACATAATTGTAATCGATGCTAAGGAAAAAAAAACTACTCATGGTGTAAACAGCTTTGTACTATGAAAGTCTGAAACAATGTATGGCAGTTATGACAGTATAAAACACAACGATCTTTCCAACTTTAGAAGTTTGGTAAATTAAGGTTGACCTTTTATTAGGGAATATAATCTATTAGCACCACCCACTTCACCTGAATATAAAAATTCCTGAAGGGAGAGCAACTGAATAGTGTAAGGAGTGGGAGGGACACTGTGAGAAATGGCAGCTCACTATAGCAACAAGAAGAGCTGTTGGGTGATGCTCACTGTCAACTCCCCAACATCTAGTATCTTATTGGGAACTAATCCCTGGGCATGTCTGTGAGGGGTATTCCTTACCCACCCTATGGTTTAGGAGTTCCTTCTGTTTATGCGTTGCTTTCATTGGTTAATGAATAAAGAAACTGCCTTGGCCTAGTTGATAGGGCAGAACTTAGGTAGGCAGGGAAGACAAAATTGAATGCTGGGAGGAAGAAAGGCAGAGTAGAGAGACACCATGGAGTCGCCAGAGACAGACATGCCGAATCTTTCCTGGTAAGCCACTGCCATGTGGTGATACATAGATCAATAGAAATGGGTTAAATCAAGGTGGAAGAGTTAGCCAATAAGATTTTAGAGCTAATAGGCCAAGCAGTGATTTGATGAATACAGTTTCTGTGTGGTTATTTCAGGGCTAAGCTAGTTGGGTGGCCAGGATGAACAAGCGACCCTTTCCCTTGCAACAACCCTATTCTAGTTTCATTATTTTGCTGTGACAAGCAACTTGATCAAACACAACTGGGGGTGGCGGTGGGGGTGTGTAACATGAGGGGCCTGCTCGTTGGGGTTTCTGTCCTGCCTGGTACCCCACAACCAGCAAGTCCCAAAGAAAATCACAGAGAGGTCTCCATAAGTTATAAAACTGATTGGTGCATTAGCTCAGGCTACTTATTAGCTCTTATAGCTTATAAGAGCTATAACCTATTATTCTTATCTATGTTAGCCACATGGCTTGGTACCTTTCTCAGCGAGGCAGCTCGCATATTGCTTCTTTGGTGGTCTGGACAGAACTGCAAAGAATTGGCTTCCTTCTTTCCAGAATTCTCCTGTTCTCATTGCTCCACCTCTACTTCCTGTCTGGTTTTCCCACCTATACTTCCTGCCTGGCCAATCAGCATTTATTTAAAACTTGATTGACAGAATAGAGACAATTCTCCCGCACCAGCGGTGGGGGAAGGAAAGGGTTTGTTTAGCTGTTACTCCATGTCACTGTTTATCACCATGGGAAGTTGGAACAGGAAGTCGAAGCAGAATCCTTGGGAAATGCTACTTGCTGACTCACTCAAGACTCCTACTTTCTAGCTTTTCTATATAACTCAGGACCACCTGCCAAAGGATGCTTCTGTCCATTGTCCAGAATGGATGTAGCCCTCCTACATCAATTAGTAGTCAGAACAATCCCCTATAAACTTTCCAGAAGGCAAATATGATTGGCAGTTCCTCAAGGGAGCCTTCTCCAAGCTCTAGGTTGTGCCATGATGGCAGCTGAAGCTAAGTAGGACACACCTTTAAAGTAGGCAGCACCAGTCCGTGGGCTGGAGTTCCAAGCTGAGTAAGAAGAACCTGAGCTGACTGCCTGGCATTCCCTCTCTTTGCTTCTTTGTGATACAGTGTGACCTGATGCCTCTTTCTCCTGCATGCCCTCAAGGCATGATCCAATGAAGCCTTTCATCCTATGAGTGGTTTGCATCAGTTATTTAGGTCATACCTTCAAGAAAAGTAACCAGTCAAGGGGCATTTTATTTACTTTCCATTGCTAATTGAAAACAGCAGTAAAGGTTTCAAATTAATGATGATAATTTAACTATAATCTAATAGTCACATGTAGTTGGATAATTGAAAAATACTAATAATTCAATGATAACAATAATAATAGTATAATAGCCACAAGATTAAAAACCTGAATTTAAAAAACACTGTTTTGATGAGCTTTGGTATATTAAATTATGGTTTATGATGTACCTAAAAATAATATGTACATGAGTATACCCATGTTCATACTAGGAACTCATAAATACATGCCTATTCATAATTTATATGCCTATATGCTTCACTCATATTTTCAGGCATTTGAGTTTAAAGTAGAAGGAAATTTTTGTATTAGACTCAGTCAATTATGTAAATTGGTATTAGAAAGTACCCTTGGTTTGGCTTTCATGTCCTGGTGAAACTTGTTCATCTTCCATAATCATAACCAGAATATGGAAAACTTATCCAAATATCTAGTTTAAAAGATGCATATCATCATACTTTTATATTCCCACAGCAAAACATTATGCAAATAAATGAACAAGTATGCAAATGAATGAACAAGTATGCAAATGAATGAATGAATGGAGTCTGACTTAGAAAGAACTAAATTCACTATTCCATACCCAGGGGAGCAAAGCTCTATTTCTTTTGAAGTAAGTCTAGCTTTCTTTTCTCCTGCCCAACAGGTCTTGTTACCAATTTTGCAGGGGGATAATTTAGTTCATCAACAACATCAAATGATGTACTAGATAATTCTCCCACCTTTATTCATGAGAGCATCCCTAGCAGAATAGTCACAATTTTAAATACGTCATAGAGAAAGTTGATCCAATTTAAACTGAACTTAAGATGTTTTATTCTAAGGAGAATTTCTAATTAAGCTCTGGTAGCTGTGGTATTGATCTGTTTCCCCTATGTGGGCCAGGTTTAAAATTTTCGTGCATAAATTTGGTAGCTCTGCCTGTAAGTATCATGATACTTGTATAAGATTGCCAGGATTTTTGATATTTTGTAACATCAATGAATCCTTGCTCTCACCGTATGCTTCTTTATTCTGTTTCAATAGTGAGCTCATAGAAGTCAAACACACAAAGTTCTACCTAATTTCATTTGTGTCTTCAAAGTTCAGAAGAGAATTCTGGATCTTCTCTAAATAATACTGTTTTCTTGGATTTCTGCATTCAGACATAGAAAACATGTTTTAAACCTCAGAGATTATAAAATAAAATATTAAGATTTATAGTTTGTTAAATGTTGTTTCAAAAGTGACAGGCCTACCTGGTGAGAAGTAAATTCTGGAAGCTTCTGTGTTAAAGATCTCTTTGTGGATGACTATAGACACTATGATGATTTTAGTCACCTTGAGTTCTAACCAAAACCAAACACCTAGTGCTCTGATTGGCAGAATCATGCTCATGGGTTTCAGGAACACCAGGAAACACACACAAAACTATGAATTGTCAGATGTTTTCAAATCTCACATAACCAAATGACCCAAGATTTTTGTAGGTTACACCCCTCGAAGAAATTTAAAACAAGCAACGTGCAGACAGGAGGGCTTAGGTGTTTGTTTCAAAGTCACACAGTAGCTGTTCAGTGTCAGAGAACACACCGACTTTCCTGTCACCCTTGCCCTGTGGCTCCCTGACAATGCCTTATTGAACAAGGTTGGAAGGATATACCCAGCAGAAAGGACTCCTTAACTTTTTCTCCATGAACCAGATGGGTTTTGTTTTATGGTTTAATGTATGTGTCCTAAGGAAGCTATCTTAAATGGTTCCACTTTGAAAATCATTGCCATACCCCTTACTATCTGAAGAATTACTATACAGAGGCTGTGAATCAGAGAACTAATTTTTTCTCTTTCAGGGATGGAGACAGAACTTGTGGCTTTATTCATGTTAGGGAAGCCCATTAGAGACGTGTCTCCATGCTCACAGTGCTAATTTTTAATAAATTTCGTTACTGGTTCAGAAATTAAAACTATTAATTTTTTGAGATTCACTAAGCACCCTCTCCCTTTAACAGTGCACTAGGAACTAACTTAAGAGTAAGGATGGCCCTACTGAAGAAAATTCTATTTAGTGGTGTTTGGAGTTCCACTGTCTCTTTCTATCGACTGTGCCTTCCTCAGAAGTGTAAAAGGATAGATTGAAGATGTCGTATCGATGCATGGGTAAAGACTCAGGGACCTGGAAACTGCCACTCATAAATTTATTTATTTTGAAATTTGTGAAAACTGTATGCCTACTCAGGAACATGTAGCTAGTTTACCAGGCTCTTTTCTGTTTTGGCATTGCAAACAATCTTCTCAGAATCCCACGTTGTACTTACTAATGCATGCTGACAGGAACGGTCCATCTCTCTTAGAGGGAAGTAGACAGTTGCTGAAGTAATCTATGAAGGGAGGCAGGATTAATGATGGCAGGATGCTGATGGCATTCATTAGTGCAATTGGCAGAGGAAATCTGCCCAAGTTCCGGTTGGAATGCATGGTCTGAAGATAATATCCTGAAGGGATCTGCATTCGAGGAAGACAGGAGTTAGCCAGTGGCTTACCTTTGAAGGAGGGTGCTCTGTCAGATGACTCCCCCCTTATCTCCTGTGTGACAGGAGACTTGAATGTCCCTTAGTTTTTCCAGACCCAGTTCTGATCCCAGAGGCCATGCTCGGCCCAGTGGCAATGCTACTCATTGCGAGGACTTTGCTTTTACATTTAGTTCACCTTCATGACTTTGTTATGAAAGCCACAGGTAAGGAATCAAGTTTCATAAATTCTCCATACTCAAATGGACTAAGTTTTCACGAACATTAGAGCAAAACTCACGTGAAAGTGAGAAAGGGCATCTGCTTTCACTCTGATGAAGCAAAAAGGAGGGCCTAGAATAGAATTTCTAAAAGCCATCTAGGTTGGCAACAAAACAGGATTTATTTATTTATTTTTTTCTGAGAAAGGAACAATGGAGACACATTGCTCACTGTAGGCTCTCTCTGCGAGCTTCCCACAAGGGTTTTGTTTCTAGCTTCAGTCAAGCAACAAGAAGAAACACAAGACAACTTTTCCGTGCTGTGACTTCTGCTTAACAGCTTTCATCGACACTTTATGTGTATGGACGGGCTTTTTGCCTGCATGTTTGTCAGTGTACAATGTACATACAGTTACCGATAGACCAAAGAGGGCACCGGATCCCTCTGGAACTGGAATTACAGAAGGCTGTAAGGTGCCACATGGGGGCTGGAAGTTGAACTCAAGTCCTCTGCAAGAGCGACAAATGTTCTTTATGGCTGGTCCATCTCTCTTCAGCCCTGTTACTTTTAAAATGATTCTGCTGTGCCAATTGTTGTGGTTTTCCATGTGAAATGTCCAGTCCCCCAAAGAAAGATGCTCATGGACAGTTGGTGCCCAGAGCATGGTGATGTTTTGGGAGGTTGCGAATCTCTCAAGACTGGGATGCTAACTGGATAAAGAGCGCAACACGGGGTGGGATTTGAGGTCTGATGGCTGTCTCCATCTCCTGTCTGGTCGAAGTTTTCTGACTGCAGAGGCAATGCAGCCAACTGCCTCCTGACCTCTTTGTCATAATGCTGTGCCCCTTCTTGAACTGGGAAGCAAAATGAGCCCCTCCTGCTTTGAAATGTGCCAGGTATTTTATCACAGTGATGAGACAGGTCACTGAAAGGCTGGAGAGATGGCTCAGTGGATAACAGCACTGACTGCTCTTCTAGAGGACCCGGTGCAATTCCCAGCTCACAACTGTCTGAAACTCCAGTCTGGGGATCGGACACCCTCACACAGACATACATGCAGGCAAAAGACTAATGCACATAAAATAAATAAATAAATATCAAAAAAGGAAATGAAAAAGAAAGAAAGAAAGAGAGAGAGAAAGAAAGAAGTGACTGATACATTAGCTCACCTCAACAGACGCTGTATGGAACAGGTCTCTATATTAATGCAAAAGATGGCAGACTCCTTAAATCTCCTTTGCTGCACCTTATAGTCTCAATAGATCACAAAACCTTTTTAATATTTAAGGAAACCCACATGATAACTGGAAACCCCCATGCTAATTAAATCCCTAACACTAGCTTCTGGTCTCTTCCCATATGCCAAGCCTTGAGGAGTCACAATACTGGAAACAAGACATACAGCTCATGGCATGGGCATTGCTTCACACTCTCCAAATGTCTTTAGTGGCGAATAAGATGCTTTTGATTCCCAGCAGCAACCCAAGCCACTGAGAGGCACAGAGTTAAGGCCTGCATGCCACTCCCTCGAGGAACGGCTTTTGCAAACTGCTTTTCATACAGTAGTAGAACTGACAGGAGAGTTCTGCCTTCCCATCACCCCAGGAGAGACACTCGGCTCAAACCCCCACATCAGAGCTTCTCGCTAAATTCCTCACTGACCCCTTCTCTCTTGTCAGTTGTACCAATTGGGAGTTTGGAAAGAGAGTCGAAAGAGTCAGTGCCGTTGGTTACCAACTGACCAACGGGAAAAGGCAACACTTGCTTTGTCATCTGCCCAGACACAGGGCTGGCCCACATTTTCTTATGGCTTCTGCCTGTCCGCATACAACACTTTCTGATGATAATTTATCTCCCAGCTTTTAATGGGATACTTGGGGCAATAAACAGATCTTGCTTTGGTTGAGCTCCATACGGCAAGAGTGAAGGGTGCATTAGCTATTTCTGCTCTGCTTCCATGCAGTTATGACACACACACCCCAATCTGAGGGAAATGAACGATGGATGTGTGGTTTAAAACGTGCTGGCAGCTGAATAAGTTTAAGACTGAGTGGCTCCTAGCATCAGAGCGAGTTTCTGTTACTGATTTCAAATGAGAATTATTGTTAATAGGAATAAAGTTATTATCGGCATGAATCACAGACACTGAAGCCTGTTAACTTAATAATGTTGCAAATGTGTCATTAATCTTCAGCGAAGAGATATTAATATATTGCCTAATCCAAGAAAAGGCTGTGGTGTCTTGAAAGCTTGAAATCATTTCTGTTTCTGCCTCGAGTTCTGAAATCCTCCCTATTTAAAATTTTAAATACTTTTATTTCACAGAGGCCTCTGAGTATTCAGAAGTAATTGCTGTCAATAGAGATTCATTTTCACCTTCGAGTGGCCCTAATGTCAAATGGCAACCTTGTCGGCCTTAATATCAACATATTTTAAATATATGTCTTGAACCTGAAGGTCAATACTTGCCACTAAATTTAAAATATGGAATTCTGGGATGTTTTATTCCTGGTGCTTTGATTGTCTTCGTGCTGGTGATTATTTTCTCTGGAAGCAAAATCTAGTCTTAGCCTATCCTAATGGAAGTTCCAACCTGGAGAAGGATGCTCTAGCATTTTCTTTCAATTTCTAGCAAAACATCACTCTATATAAGGTTGGCATCTATAATAGTTTGCATCAAGATATTTCATAATGCGTCAGAGAGGTGTTGTGGGTAATAGTAATAGGCTTGGATGTCAGCCTTGAGTTAGGGCAACCATGTAGCCATACAGGAACAAATCCAAGGTTACTTAGTCTTGCTATTCTCTGGAACCATAGGCATTTATTTATTCTAAAAACAAGGTCTCAATGTATCACCAGGTATCTAGCCTAGCCTTGAACTCACTATGTATCCTAGGCTGGAATTGAACCCACGGCAACCCTGCTGCTTCCGCGTCCCTAATGCAGTGTAGTTATACACATGAGTTGTTACATTAGCTGCTATGTCTCTGATGTGTGATAATGACAGTGACTCTGCAGACATTCTGCGAGGATAAAATTAGACGCCCAGAAGTCTAGTTGGTGAGATGCTCAGCTGGTCAGGGCACCAGCCCTTGAGGCTGACGATCTGAGCTTGATCTCAGGAACCCACATGGTAACGGGAGAGAAATGACTACTGAATGCTGTCTTTGACCTCCCACTCCTTAGACCATGAAAGGCATACATGTCCTCCATCAAGTAAATGTAAATATTTGTAAGCCATCTTTAAGAAGCTGTGGTGATTAATAAATTATCAATAAGTGCTTGAACTTTTCTTCAGTAAAATGGACATTTATTTCCTTAAAACTTTGCTTACCAACTTTTTATTTACTTGTCCAGCCACCCATGTTCCTGTAAATAACACTTCACCTATGAAAAAGATAGTTCACTGGTGTGTGTGTGTGTGTGTGTGTGTGTGTGTGTGTGTGTGTGTACAGAGAGAAAGAGCAGAGAGAAAAGTAGATGGGCACTATATGGGAAGAGGAAAGGGACAGAGAAGTGTGGAAGGGGACGAAAGCAGGTTATGTGGGGTGTGACTAAAACCAAATTTACCAAAATGTGTTGTATTTACATCAAAATACAAATGAGTGGAGAGAAATACAAGTTGCTGCTCGACCGTGAAGACAAGGAGTCAGGAATTTGTGGTTTTGGCACAGAGGGTTTACAGCTAGCTACAGACTGCTTAGTAGTTCGGAACTCAGCATTATTTCTCCGGTCTAGGTGCCTTTTTAACAAGGACCGCATAAGTGAGGAAGGCTTCTGCGGTGTGTTGTTTTGAGACCTGCTACTCTTTGTACAGCCAGGAGGACTCTCCCCATCTGCGTTCCTCCCGTGCACTGTTTGGACCAGGGGTTAACAAGCTTTCCTGTAAGGGGCCAGGTGATGATGATGTCTGAACAAGGGTTCTTTGGCAGCTTTTCAGTTCTGCCACCTTTGGACATGCGTAGCCACCGATATAACAAACCAATCGGCCAGGCAGTGTTCTAATAAAACTTTATTAGTAGGCGGCGACATTTAACTTCCATATAATTTGTAAGCACCACCAACTACTCTTTTGTTTCTCCCCAATGGTGTAAATTATTGAAGCCATGCTAACTTTCACTATATACAAAAATGAAAAAGAACACCAAGAGATGGCTCTAAGGATAGAGGCACTTGCCACAGAGACATGGGGATTTGGGTTCAATCCCCAGAACCCACATAAATGCAGGAGAAGAAAACCCACTTCTACTGTCTTCTGACCTCTACATGAGCACCAAGCCATGTTTACATACCCTCCACACCATGCACTTAGACACATGTAATAATGACAAATGTTGTAAAGACAGGCCATGGACTGAGTTTAACTTGGAGGCAGTGGTTAGCTGGGTGTATTGTTTACTGTTCTGTTGCTGGGATAAAGCTGTGTGGCCAAATGCTACTTCAGAAAGAGAGGGTGTATTTTAACTCAGTTTTCTAGAGGGCGTGTGAACAGTGGGGAAGAATCTGGGCACGGTGGCAGGAGCAGAAAGCCGTCTGACCACCCTTTCACTTACACATGGGAAACATAGAAAGACCAGAAAATGTAGCAAGGCTAGGAACTCCCAAAATCCACTCCCAGGGATGGAATTCCTCCTGCAAGGCTCTGCCTCCTCAAATGCTGTCACCCAGTGGAGGCCAAAAATTCAAACATGTGAGCCTATGGGAGACTTCTCACATTTAAATCCTCACTGGGGTTTACAGGAGCAGGCATGGGCTGTTCTGAGAGTCTGCTTCTTCCACCTCCTCCTTGACTGCTGTTAACTGACAGACTACCTCTCAACATCAAATCACTTAACTTTACAGGCCTCTTCTTTAGCAAATGGAGCTGGAGTTAGGCCAAGTTTTCCCGTCTAATGTCCTGTGATCGATGCATACAATCAGGCGTTAGTTTTTAAGCTCTACGTTGGAGTAGTCACCAAGAAAGTCCTCAGTTTGTTCAATGACTTATAATTGTCTCCTTCTGCTCTAGTTCTGACTTGATCTTTGACCATAGCTGCACGAATTTGTTTAAATTCACATTCATCTACAAAAGACACCTCGGGCTTAGTGTTTTCTCTTTTATTTGCTCCCAGCATAAGAACTGATTCCCTGAAGGATATTATGCGAGCGGGAAGGGAATCATTTACTCATAACTAAGAGTTAGTGAAGGTGGGGTTGCTTTCTAAAGATTTAATGGGGTCGGGGAGAGGCTCAAATCTTTGGTTAAAGGGAGTTTAGGAATTGCCTCTGCGTCTTGAGATTCTAAGAACTGTGCAGTCTGAGATACCATCTGCTCCTTTCGCCTGACACGGACAGTCCTACGAGATGATCCCACCCAGGGTCTCCTCAACAGTTTCAGCTTGACTACCCTGAGCTCTTAAAACCAGGGACCCCACTGTTCAGAAGGTAGGACAAAGGATCGGGATGTGTTTGAAAGTGCCTGCTTGGGTGTTGTGGTTTGTATGTGGAATGTCTCCCTTTGGTCTGCAGATGGTGGTGCTGTTTGGGAAGGATGAGGAAACTTCAGGCAGTGGAGGAAGTGGGTCATGGGAGGAGGGTTCATGCTTTCCCAGAGCCAGTCTCACTTCCGGTCTGCGGACTGTGAGCGATCTAATGCTTGTAGGTCCTTCCGCGCTGCGACAGACCCTACCCCCTCAAACTGAGCCCAGATAAGTCCTGCCTCCCGTAAGTGACTTTTGTCAGCTATTTCGTCACAACCATGAGAAAAGTGACTAATACAGGCTGAAAACACACGAAGTCGCTTTATTGTCTTCGGTGTGTGTCGGCTGTCCTCCTTACCTGCATAAGGCACATTCTGTATACGAGCTGGAAACCGAAGAGAGGCCAGAGGGTGGAGAAGACAAGGTCTGTGTCTTCCTCCTGGAGTTCTCTGCCGTGTTCAGCGTGTATTTGCAGGGCACGGCCTGACCAGCTTGTTCCATCTCGCCCAAGGTGGCAGCATTTTTTCAGGGCCGTAAAAACCACGCCAGAGACAGTCACGGGCGAGCAACCTGCAAAGCATTGGAGACAGCATGTGTTAGCCCTGAGAGGGCTACTCAGCCCTCTCAGACATGAATCAGGACCTGACACTCCTGAGGAGAAAAGGTGGCAAAAGTGGCGTCAAAGGGTCCCACTCCTGAGGAGTTAGGTTCAAAGGCACTGCTGGCGGAATAGCTTCCTGGTGACCAGCCCAGGGTGCAGCCTGGCAGCCGACGTAAAAAAATGAAAAAGGTGAGATCAATGGGGGCACATTAGAAAAGAAGTGACAGCAAACACCGGCAGAGTAGAGAATTTCAGAGTCTCTAAGAAGTCTCTAACTTCACTCATTAATGAATAAGAGAACCTGGGAATTCTTTTACATCTTTTACTCCGGAACCAGGACCATTCTGTAAAATATAAATAGCCTTCATTTTACTTGGCAGGTAGCTGTTGGTTCTTTTATTTTGACACAGAGATGAAGGCGAATGTATTCTTTTCTTTGATTTTACCCTTGAATTTCAGATGTAAAATTAAATGTTGAACCCTTTAAATGCCTTTATGAATGTTGACAGTGTTACTGAAAAGCCAGGCTGTATTAGTTGACTTTTCCAGGATTTCCCTCTGCGTTGGTATGGAGGATGCTTTAGCATCAGAAAAGTCATATTGCCTCAGTTGTTAGCAGTTGCCTCGTCCCAGTTATTTGAACTTCACCCTAGCTTCTTTTATGATTTTTAGATTGTACAGAAAATTTGTCTCTCTTAGGAGTGTCTGCTACCACGACAAGGAAAATAGCCACACTGTGTAGTCTAACTGTGTCATGCTGATTGTGACTTTGTTTTCCCATAATACTCACTTTCACCATATAAATCTTTCCACAAATTATAGACACTGAATTTTGGTTACAGGAAAAATAGTACAATTCACACAAAAACATCTGAGTTTCTCTCAGTAGGTCAGCTAGGGACAATCAAACCACAATTTGAGTTGTCTTACTGTGTCCAAATTTCCCATAAGAAAATCCTACGTAAGATGAATGCTAGCCAGATTCATTTAGATGCCACACACTATTGGCTGTTCTGTTTAAATAAGGAATATCTATGAACATCTCTTTTTATGGCTATGAAGTTGGCTATATTGATTCCATCTGATCTTTTTCGTAAGACCTGTAATAGGCTGATTATGTCAGCCTTTGATTAATTGAGGAGCTGGGGGCCTGGTAATTGAATATGCACCCTTTCACCTCAAGTCACTGAATCAAATCCAGCCCAAATTGGTAGTGACCAAGAATGATTATACTTGTGACTCTCTGGTGGCCTCTGTGAAGTATCTTTAGGTCACATGGAAGAGCATCGTGATAATTGCTGACAGGAGAGCCACTCAGACCCACGGGCTTTGGCACCTCTTCCTGACCACTGTTTCCAAGCCCAGAGGAAGGCTCAGCATTGGTCTAAGGAGACAGAAACACGTAGGTGTTGCCAGACTTGTGTCCTTTAGAGAAGAAGTAATAAGGAAAGGGCTCCATCATTGTCAGAGCACAGACTGCTCTATCATGAGGTGTTCCTAGCCATTTCAGTGAGCTCACTTCAGGTTTAAGTAAAATGAGAACTGGATGTGTGATAATGGAGTCTGGAGTTGAACATGGGCAGGCCTGGGCTAATGACAACCTTGACATTTTCTTACAGCTGTGCTTGTGTTGCTGGGTGTGTGATGATGAAGCCTAGAGTATGAAAGTGGGCAGGCCTGGGCTAAATGACTTAACTTTGACATTTTCTTACAGTTTTGCTTGTATTGCTTTTCTGTTTGTTTATGCTGGCTAGGTTGATGTCAACAACACCAAGGAGAGGCATCTGGGAAGAGGGAATCTCAGTTGACATAGTGTCCCCACCAGACTGGACTGTGGAGCGTTTGGTTTCTTGTTTGATGACTGATGTGGGAGAGTCTAGTTCTCTGTGGGCGGTATCGCCGCTGGGCTTATGGTTCTGAGTGCTGAAAGAAAGCTACTAGGAACAATCTAGGAAGCAGCATTCCTCCATGGTCTCATGCTTCCATTCCTGTTTCCTACCCTGAATTCTCTCAGTGATGGAGTGTTATTGGTCCATGTAAGCTGAAATAAACCCTTGTTCCTCCAATTTGCTTTTGGTCATGGTGTTTATAAGAACTGTAACTAAAACATTGATGAATTCTTGAAAAAAAAACAGTGCTATGTAGACATCAGGGTTATGATGATTCATTTTAATCCAAATGACTCCAGGTTTTCTGACAGTTTTTGTCATTAAATGGTAATTATTTGTAGGAGGGAAGTCATTATTCTTTTTTCTTTTTCTCCTAAAGACATTTTTTTTTACTTTTCTCCCAAGTTTAAAAATTCAAGGTCTTGTATTACATATGGATTTTAAATGGACCATAACTTTATTATAAACCAGGCATACTTTATTGTGAGATTAAAATTGAATTTACTTCTAAGAGATGATTTAAAGATTTCTGAAATCTTCTTAAACGATTCAATATTGCTATCATATTATTTATAAAAAAGGATAGCTGAGATTGGTGTTTTATTGTACTTTGTTAAAAATCAGTTTTGGGGATGGAGAGATGTCTTTGTGTTTGTTAGTATTTATCATTCTTCCAGAGAACCCAGGTTAGGGTCCCAGTACCCACAGGTGGCTCAGAACTGCCTGTAACTCCAGCTCCAGGGATCTGATGCCCTCTTCTGGCCTCCAAAGGCACCTGCACTCATGTGCACATACCCCAGCCTTACAAACATATAGACAAAACTAAAAATAACCTTTTAAAAGACAAATCAGTTAAGAAGACTCTCCCAGATGTCTGCCACTCCTGCACTTGGAAGGTGGAAGCAGGAAGTTTATTAGAGCCTGTCTTATAAAACAAAGAAAATTCTCAAGTAAGATTGCCAACATATGTGTGAAACACACTAAAAATTAAATATAAGAAAGATATAAAAAGATATGCCCTGGGAGCTTGTTTGATCCATCAGATATCAGATGTAACTTCCGCAAGCATTTCTACATATGTCTTCCACTGTATTTTTTTTTTTATTTCATAGTAGCGATGATTCTCAGGCCAGCAGCATTGCTCTGTGGACCAGGTTCTAATAGTACTTTGGAAAATAAATTCAATGAAAAAAAATGAATCTGATACAGTGAGGCAAAATGAATAAACTCAAAGAGGTTGAAAACTAGGGAATGAATGATTGACGATAATTTCTAAAATTCCCGCTGGCACAGAAAGCACCCAATGCATCTATCTCCATGAAGTGAGGGCAAGATCATACAGTCAGTTTCCATATTTACTGTGAACCAGGGGCTTTCTTTGTCTTTGGCATGATGGCAGCGAGCAATTCTTACAAGCCCACCAAGTCTTCTTGGTGCTCCCAGAGACATTGTGAGTAGGGAACTCCTTACATGAGTGTGGTAGCAATGCAATGGGTAGATATGATAGAAACCTACTAGGGATGGCATGGAGTGGCATGTAGACATTTCCTAAGGTGTTGACGTATGAACTGAGGACTGAGGACTGGGAGTAAGCAACATCACCTGGAGGAAACAGGCCAGTAGAGGTGAGCTGTGATATTGTGAGCAGCAATCGAAGCTCTGAGTGGGGAGGAACTAATGAGAAGAATATGGTAAAAGATAAAGTTCAATGCTTGATAGAGGCCAGACTACACAGACTATGGGAGGGACGTATAGTCCACCCTCCGAAGGGTTAGAAACCACTATGAGGTTGGAAGTGGGAGAGAGATAGTGTATAACCCACATTTTAAAAAGCTACTCTGGAACCTTAGAACACTCAGCCCTAAATGGGATGTCTCTATCAGATCCCTCTCCTGGAGCTCAGGGTAGCCAGTGGAAGGGGAGGTAGAAAGAGCGTACCAGGCAGAGAGAATGGGGATGGAGGACACCAGGAGAGCAAGGTCTTCTGAATGAACATAAGCAAAGCTCATACCTTGCAGAGGTTATGGCAGCACGCACAGGGCCTACATAAGTCTGCACCAGCTCCTCTGTGTGTACACTATGGGATTCCTGAGTGTGCTATGAATGAGTGGGTCTCTGATTCTTTTGCCTTCTGTCTATCTATGTATCTATCTATGTGTCTATGTATGTATGTATGTATGTATGTATCTATCTATCATTTTCTCATCTTCTGTCTGTTCGTCTGTCTGTCTATTTTTGTCTTGTCTGACTTTGATGTGATAGTTTTTGTTTTATCTTATTATATTTTATTTTGTTATATATATTTTAAATGAATTAACTTCAAAAAAGCTACTCTGGGGCCTGGTTTGTTACTCAGTCATAGAAGGCTCATCTAACATGTATGAGGATTTGAGCTTGCTTCTTAGAACTGAAAAATAAATGGTAAAAGAAAAAGTAACCCTTGAAGCTGATGGCTGATAGATTTCTGGGGATGAGATAGGAAAGCAGAAACCAGACAGGAAGTAGTGGTGATGTGGACGGCAAGGAAACGGGAGAGAGGAGTAGAGTGGAGGATAGCTGCATTTCACCTTGAACAGTGGGATGTTGGTGACAAATCATGAAGGTTACAAGAATTTAGTGTGAGCTAGGCATGGTGGGGCACACCTTTAATTTCAGCACTTGGAAGGCAATGGGAGGCAGATCTCTGTGAGTTCACAGGCACTCTGGTTTACGTAGTGAGTTCCAGGCCAACCAGGGCTATGTAGTAAGATGAGAGAGAAAGAAAGAGACAGAAGCAGAGGCAGAAAGAGACAGAGAGAGAGAGAGAGAGAGAGAGAGAGAGAGAGAGAGAGATAGGGAGGGAGGGAGAAAGGGAGGGATGAATGGAGGGATAGAGGGAGGGAGAGAGTTTGTAGCTGGATGAACTGGGAGTTGGGTTGGGTTCACATTTGAAACACCACTTGATCACTAAGTATAAAAGTCAAATAAAAAGTGATGTACTTTTCAAGGCTGGAAAAGAGGTGGATGTGGATCTGAGAGGCCTGTGGGTACTGCTAAGGGCTGGGGCTTGGGGACACTGGAAGAGGAAGGCATGGATAGAG